TAAAGCCTTGATGCCAAAGTGGGCTAACTTGAAAGCCTTCCAAAACTTTATTATTGAATTCCTACAAGGAACAGCAGGAGAAAATATAAAGTTAACAAAGGGTCAAGATTAACCAACATAAAATATCCCATAGCAGCTGCATTAAGGTTTTCTTTGCAGGGATTTCCTTCAAATAGTAGAACCCAAAAACAGCTTATTGACCTGAGGAGGAACCTCCTTACTGGGAGGTTGTGAGTCTTTGTTGGCTAAAAAAGTATTCCCCAACATTAGCTCATGCCTTCCTATGCAATTAAAAATAGCAATTAGTCATAAAACACTGCCATTTATGCATTTTATCACTGCACCGTTAAGGTATAATCTAAAGAAACAACAAAAATACAGGTGATCATAATAGTAGAGACTAGCTAACAACTAAACTGATACAACTGCATTCAGTTATAAACATGATGCTTGGACGACCAAAGAGTCTAATTAGAGACCAGAATAAACTATATTTGTACAGCCCAAAATTAAAAGTTCAAACAACTGAAAGAATCTCTAAAAACTGAGACAAACCAGATATCACAGAGGTTTCAAATTGCTCAAGTCTAATAAGACTAAAAGATTAAGTGAAAATGATGTATAAAAATGGATGAAAAATCACAATACAATAAAATTCAGAGGGTGAAGTGGATTAACATAAAGTTAAATTTCCTCAGTGAGAAGAAATCGATATATCAACATTCGTTTAGAAAAAATCAAAGCAAATGTCTGAAAACATATTCACTTAAATTGACCCTCTAACTTGCTACGTACATATCCAAAAACAATTATAGGAGGTAACTTCCCAACAATAAATGTGCTAGTTTCTCGGAAAAATGAGATGATAAAACATTCTAGAATGAAGCCAGCAGTGTGTTATTCCTGCAGCAACTATACTAAATAAGATACTTTTAGGTCCAATAGAATGCAGTTTCATTACTATTACTACATAAGTACATAATTAATCACGAACTATGGGTGGCCATAATAAGATCAGATCTTAGATTAAAATCTGATGAAGACACTGAAGGAAAAAACTTACTTCCCCAAAAGTTTTGAGATTCATCAGTGTATTGGCATATATACTTGTCATAAGCACCAAGAATTTGAGCCCCAACCCCTGTAAATCTAGGTCCGTGCAGCAGCATTTCCATTTGTGTCAGTTTCCTCCTAAATGAAGGATTCTCCACCGAGTACATGAAGCAAAAGCTTTGCTTTCGTTCTGGGATTGATACCTTAAAGTACCAACCCTCAAAAAATTGTCGAGTGGTTCCGTCGAAGTGGTATCTGTATTATACAGCTAAAGCTTTTCATCAATCATGTAAAGCACTACAGAGCCTTTGGTTAGTTGATCGCCATTAATGAAAGCCTCAAAGATTCTGTAATTTTCTATATAGCAAAACAATTTCCTATATACTCAATAAAGTTTATATAAAAAAAAGGAACAGTTTAAGCTTTAAAACGCACATACTAAAAATTCTCTTTGAAGTCTTGCGCTTTACTTGTAAATAATTCATTTTGAAACCGATCAATGTTTTCCCCCCTCCTTTTATTGATAATCATAATGAATGAAGTAACAGTAAGGCTAGTCATAACCTTCACTTTTTAATCATTTTAAATGAAATAGAAAAAAAAAGTGCTAACGAAAGCCAAGTCAAACTACTATCTGAATAGAAGATTTACCAAATTTCAACTTAACTTATTCAAATTCATAGAACGCAACTGAACAGAAAGCTACCCGCTGTGAGGAGTTCGAGTGTCTCGACTTGCCGGCGTGGGTACATAAACCGGATTAACGGAGACGGGTCTCTCGGCTGCCCGAGAAGACGTTTCGGTTTTGTTTTCAGCGGCGAAGCTGCATGCAATAATCGGCGAGTTCGATCGAAACCCTAACCTAAGAGGACGGATGCGTCGAGAAGAGAGTCCGCTGAAGGTTGAAGATTGAAAGAATTTAACACGAGAACGACATCCAATACAAAAAGAAGTGAAATGGCAAGGCTCGTTGATAGAGCAAGTTCTTAGCTCCATTGAATATCACAAGAATCTGAAAATCAGAAGAAATAAAATCTGAAACTTTTAATAATAAAAAAAAGGCTTGTATTTTTTAAAATAAATAAAAGGGATGCGATACGTCATTGAATTATGACTTCATTTTGACTTTGATCGCTAAATAAAAAATTAAATTAAAACGCAATCGTCATTGAGATTAATTTTGTAAATATAAAAATTTAAAATTATTATTATTTTAATTAATAATAAGACACGTTATTATTTTCATCATTGATATAATGATCAATGACTTGATTGATTAACTTCCTAACATTAGTGCCTTATTGGAAAAAGAATTGTTTAGTGATCAAAATAAAAACAAGGTCATTGTTAAGTGGCGAATAGGGTAGTTTATCCAAAGAATTAAGTGAAGGAAAGTTGGCGGCGGCGAGAGATTAACCGGCAAATGGCAACTTCTCTCCTAATTATCCGTTTTGTTTATTTTGTATATTATTATAATTAAAATCAAAATATTTTTTATATATTATATATTTTTGGAATTGGAGGGCAACTAAAAAAAAATCAAAATATTTTTATTTTTGCATTAAGTTGATTTTCGGAAAATATTCACCCCCTTATAAGTTCGAATATATTTGTTATATATTTCATACTTTAAGATATATTCTATTCAGATTAATTTTGTCTAATGATTAATTTATCTTAATTTAGATGACATTTAAAAAAAATTAAACTTAAATGTAATTGTTATAATTATAAATAATAGAATATCAGATAATATATGTTATCCTAGTTTCTCTTATTTCTCTCCTTTGTGGTGTGTCTTTCGTATTTTTTCTTTCATCTTTATTGATTGGCGACGACACTAATTTTGATATTGTTACTGACTATATGTATTTTTTATTGTCCTTTTATTTCTATACCGAATCTTTATTTTTCTTTTATTTTTAATTTTCAATAAGTATGCCTTTATGACATGTTTTTGTCTGCCTTTGACATGGTTTCCTAGGTCTTTTGTTACATTTTCGGTCGCTTGATCGTTATTTTCATATATCTTTTTTTAAAGTTGATTCAATATTGACACGATTAATTAAGAGGTACTTATATGTTATCATGTTGATTTTCCCTATTTTAGACCTTCCGATTGAATTTGGATACTTGATTTGCGTTCATTGATAGTTTTTTCATGTCGCTCGATTCTGATTTGTGATTTTGTCGGTGGTTTTTCAATAATTTGGTTCATTTTCGCGTTTTATTTGCCGATATGATCAAATATGTTTACACTTTATCCTCGTTCGAAGTTTTGGTTAGATTTTTTTTATCTTGTCTTGTATAGTTTTTGTGTGATCTTAAGCTACTAATTTTGTGATAATAATTTTAAGAAAAATATCTTACTTATGTGTTTACTTTACAATGATAAAATCTTTATTATAATTTGAAATATTTTCTGTTTTATATAAAAATAGTGACTCCTATAAAAATAAATAAATAAATAATAGAATAGCTTATCAAACAAATATGTATCCTTAATTTTGTTGAAATTAAAATGATTCTTTAAACCAAATATCATATAATTAAGAACTAGACGATGTAAGATTAGACAAACCAAATAATATTGCATCAGATGAACATTAATGATTGTAACGATTCTTCTATAAACGTAATAATATAAATGTTTGTTTTCTATTAAATAATAAAAATGTTACTGATTAGTTTATGGGTCAAATTTACGTCTGCAATCTTCCGGTGCTGACCAGCTTCCAAGCTTCGAGACGGTTCATGGTGACTCGTAGTTGAGAAACCAAGCGATCGAATGAGGGCTTCGAAGCCGAAGCAGCGGCGATTGCATATCGAAAGAGCATGCAAAGTATCAGGACGAAACCCAGTTCAACATCAGCTTCTATGGATCTGACGAACTGAGAAAACAAAGAGAAGAAATTAAATATATCGATGAAAACAATGGAGAAGACGGAGAGAGAGAAAGTGAGCAAGAGGATGATTAGAATGAGAAAGGAAGTCACGAGAAGAACGCAGGCAATGAAGGAGCCATAGAGAAATGCGAGAAGGATCAACTCTAGGTTGGGGAAATAATGATCATTGGCCATGGGACCATAGGTTTGTTGAGATGGTGAAGAAAAGAGCTCAATTTGAAGAAGAGAATGAAGTGAGCTGCACTCATTCTCCAGAATCCAGATACCCTTTTTTTGTGCATGTATCTTGAAGGCATATCAACAACGTAAGGAAAGAATCAAACCGGTAACAGTCTACTGAACATCCCAGAACCATTGCAGCAAACCTCTCTCTCTATGTATATATGATAAGTTAATTCCTGTAACTTTGCTTAGCTAATCGTTAAGACTAAGGGAGATTAATGTGGTAAAAGTTTTATTTACTGCAACCCTTCACCAGCATCGTGCAAAGGTGCAAAAAAGACAGAAGGGGAAAGAAAATTGTATAAAGCGTCGACAGCAGGATTTGAACCTGCGCAGGCAATGCCCAACAGATTTCGAGTCTGTCTCCTTAACCACTCGGACATATCGACATCAGGTTGTCCAGGGGGTAATTCTAAAGTTAATTATTTTATAATTTAACATGTCATTGCGGTATATTTTACCTTCTAAGTTTTGCCACCTTCATAATTTCTAAAGAATCTATTTGCTCCCTTTCATTCGAATGTTTGTACTTGTATCTTCCAAGAATGGAAGTTTACTATTGAAAAAAAAAAGGAAAAATAAGAATGGAACAAACCGTTCACAGTAGTTAAACTAACAAAGATTGCATTCATCTTCTCATATGGAACCATTATAGTTGTTTAATGCAGTCAATGTCGCATTCTGCTCTAAGCCAGTACTAAGAAGTTCAGGGCAATTGTCACACTATCCATTTTGAAATGACATTTTTGCAGCTGAATTCAAAGCTGCATCAAATAAATTATACGAGATATGCAAAAAAAATTGTGCTAAAGGACAGATATGGAGGTAATAGCAATGCGAATAATCAAATTTTGCTCTCAATTGTGCCCCCTAAAGAATAGCTACTAGCTAAAACCAGAATGGGAGCCAAAGTAAAGTTACAGTAAGCATTACGCAAGGATGGTTTCCATTTGGCCATCCTTTCCTCACTAGTCCTATGAAATTCTCTCAACCAAACTCAGCAGGCAATGCAGAAATGGAAAAATAATATACCGGACAAAGGTTTGTTTACACTTGTCTGCAAATTACCAGTTTTTCGTCTTTTAGGTAAGTACATCAGTGATTGGAAATTGTTTGCCACTTGATTTAGGTTTCAGTTGAGATACAATTCTCCTTCAATGACAGTTATAAGCGTCTCTTCGCCATCTTTCCTGCAACAACGAACATGAGAACTCATATAAATCAAACCTTAGGTATAAAACTTTGCAGACATTCAATTAATCATCCCTGCATGTACTGTATATACTTCTTTAAGTCATTAAAAATAAATTTTGAATAAGATCAATAGAAATAGGCTGCTATAATTCGAAAAACCATTATAGGTTGAATCCAGAAAAGTCTGCTTGTCAGGAGGTGGATAATATGAATGCACTAATGCAGGATTCATTGCTCGATGAATCAGCCCAGCAGGGCAGAAGTTTGAGGGGAAAAAAACTGAAACAGGGAATACAGCTAAAAGTCTGGTTTTTCATGATGTTGCTTTGTTTTCCTTTATATTCATTCTTCTCACTTCATCGATGAGTACACTGAACTTGCGTTAATATACAATTGCTTTATTTCCATGTAGCCTTTTAGCAATGTCATTGGTGGAACTTTTTTAGGATGTATTTGATGAAAAGAAACGACACTTACCTTGCCAACCAAAATTAACTCCTTTCACACACGTACTGAGTTTCATGCAAGTGGAGCAATAATGTCCAGATTATTCTTTGTTGACCATTTTTTGGGATAGAAGGAATTAGACGGTTCAACATTAAGCCCCCAAACCATGATTCTTGAGCAGTCCTGCGGTAAGCCTTCCATCTGGCTTTCGTCTTCCACAACTCGTTCAATAAACAAGCTTGCCTGCAAATTCAAATCGATAATGTTAAAATGTTGAAATGAAATCCACCACCAATATGTAGCATTTCAATATAGGTTACAGTGCAAAATACTAATTCAAAGGGTAATTTTTGGAGGACAAAGTCGATTGCTGGCATCCTTTTCTCTCACTGTTACAACCAAAATTGACTTAATTAGCAGATGCAGTAAATGGCAACATTTCTAATATTTATCCAGAAATAACACAGGTATGACCACTGTAGTAAGGTGAAACAATAAGAAACTTAAGGGCAACCAAAGAAGAGCCAATAAATACTAACGAGTAAACCATCTTTGGCTGTGTCAAGCTGTCTTATCAGCTCAAGAGTAGGTCGGTGCCATCGCTTTGGATCCCAGAGTATGGTACTGTTGAAGGCAAACCCTGACATCTCAGCATGGAATCTGCGGAGTCTCCTACTTAATCCATTTAGGTGCCATCCAATGACTTGAGTTCCATTACAAACAGGGCCCTCCAATGTAGCTTTACTTCTGTCTGATGCTTGTTTCGCCACAATCCAAGTCCCAAACCGCCTATAAATAGAGCCCATAATGGAAAAAAAAATGCTGTAGTAGGCACAAATAAAGGGATAATTTAAAGAATACAAGTTGACAGAAAATACAGATATAAAGGAGATACCTAATATGCCTCATTTGTTCAAAGAGATCAAGTGAGTAGATGTTATCTTCATCGGCGAAGTAGACAATTCCATCAAGACGATGAGTCTCAATGTGAGATAGTGCCATGTTTCTTTGGTGAACTCTTCTGTCGTTTATATCGGTCAGATTTTTCTTGCAAACAAGATGCCTATACATTACACTGCTCTTTCTTAGGATGTCGGCTACTTCATCAGACTGAGAGGTCATCTCCACAACTACCCACAATATAGGAGGTTTGACCAGCTTTAATGTGTATGCCAAACGATTTAGATAATAGGCTTGAAGTGATCCAGCATGTGTTGGAGTCACAACTATCAAAAGCTTACGAGTTTCCAGATCTATATCTTGAGGGAGCAACCGATTAGTCAGGGTGTTATCTAAATTCCCTTCTGTCATTTCCTGTCTTTGCACCAATCCCTCTAATGAGAAGTTATTATCAATCCCAGGGCTGTTCAGTGTTGAAGTTACATTCCTTTCTGAATTGTTGTTTGTTTGAAAATTCCCAACAGTCGATACTACCTCGAAAGAGAATGCCTGGTGCTTTGAAATGGGATTCATGTATGAAAAGTCCATGGAAATGAATGGTGTAAATCCAATTAAAAAGCCAACTATGAAACAAATGAAGAAGTGAAAAACAACCCTCCTCCAAACTTGTCCTTTCTGTTTTGATCTGTCAAGGTGCCTATAGGATCTTGGTGAGAAAAGACCGGAAAATAAGGATCGAGAATCCGATAAACTGAAATGAGACACTGGCAATCCAACAGTGGCTGGGGAATTCTGACTACATGATGAAGACTTGGACAAAGGAGAAGGAGCTGAACGTTCAGCCTCTCCGGCGATTAAAGTCCCATGTTGAGGCACGGGAGACAGTGTTCTTCTAATGGATGCCATCAATTTCTGATCTGTTTTACTCCTCAATCAATTAAAAAATCACCACTAAGCAGCCAAATTCATCACAAGCTTGCTTCCTTTACCAATACACCCCTTTAAAACAACAGCATCCAAATACGCAGTATGTTCCCCTAGCTCCATTACACATCCATGAATATATCTTATTTTAAATATCAAATCAATCCTACCAGATACATTCAGCTACGCGAATCCATTTTCAAAAACACAATTCTCCCTCTCACCCAAATGATGCCTGTAAATATATCAAAGACAAAGCAAAGTTCTTGATCTACTACGAACTGTTTAAGCAACTAAAGTAATTTCAAATCAAACATAATAAACCCAAATACCCAATTTACAGGATCAGATTTGACTTAAAAACAATGATATTCCCAAACCAAAATTTGCCAAAACTCCAATCTTACTAAAACGAGCAGCCGATTACCTTGCAACGGAAAATGGGTATTCGATCTTCTTTCCCGAAAGTCGCAGAGGAGAGAGAACCAGCATCATCTTTGATCTCCGAGCTTTTAGTTCAAAAGGCGGCGAACAAAAAACGTCAACAGCATTTTCCAGACCTTCATTTTCCTTGAATAAAGGGTCAAAGCGTAGAGTTAGAAAAGGTCTTAAAAAAACAAAAGATGTTGAAGGAATCTATATAATGGCCTTGCGCTTGCAATAATGTGAGAGACTTTAAAACAGTTCAGAGCACACAGTCGCTTGCGCCCAATCACAAACATTCAGACACAATGAACATGACAACACGATAAGTTGATTTATTATTATTAGTATTGACATTTTTTTAAGGATTACAGACATTTAGATTATGTGTTTATCTATTCTTATAAGTTATAATGTATAATTTGATATCTACGAAAAAGGCACCCAGAGTTGACTTAGGAAACATTGATTTAGTGGTGTTCGATTGAGTCGAGTCAAAAAATTTTAAATTATTTGAATTGATGAGTCGTATTTTACAACTTGGAGATGACTTAAAAAAATTTCAATTCGAGCTTAGTCGAATTTTCGAGTTTGTGTTCAAATTTAATTATCCGCTAATTATTAAAAATTTTGTTAAAAAATTTTTGAGTTGATGATATTATTTGATTTCAATTTAAATGGTGTTTATGACCATATATATATATATACATTCATGTGTTAATTTTTGATAAAAAAAATACAATACATGTATATTTCTTTGATGTGTGATATACATATGTCATATGGATTTGAAGGACTCGACTCAAACTTAAATATTCATCCATTAATTTACTAAAAATTTTGAGTTATTCAAATTGTATTTTACAATTCGATCTGAACTTAAAATTTATTCGAATAGAATCGAATTTATAAAATTATAACTTAAAATCATTTCGAGTCGAATTTTATTCACCAAACATTGAGGATTCAAAGCCAAAATTTACGGCACTTCTTTATTCGCCATCACCGTTTAATAATTTAAGGTTTTTTTTATAAAAAAAATTAACATAATTAATTAGATACTAATGGCATCAAGAATAACAAGGCAATGAGCAACACGTTTTGTCTCTCGACAAACATAAAAGACTCTAAAATTTAGATTGCTCGTCAAAATCAATCGTTCCTATCAACTTAGGCGAATATGTCCCTTTTAACTCCAACAACCAGTTCACGGTGGTCCCGAGCAACAACACCAATTGCCTCCATCCACATTAATACTATTAATTTAAGAGGGGTGAATTAATTGCATTCCAATAAAGAAATGCCATATATGAAGTGATTTTCATTTAAAAAATACAGGTTTGAAGGAAAATTACCAAAAATGAGTTATAACGATAAAAGAAACAAAGACATTCTTGGAGTTGTTCCATCTCTCATATCTTGAAATTTCAATCGATTGTCTAATGAGTCAAATGAGACCATCTTATGCATGATCACGGTGGTAAAATCAAAGTTGTGCTTTTTTTAATGCTTAATTTTAGTATTATATCTCTCAGTTAAACGGTTAACAATCAAATTTAACAGTTTAATGACCTGAATAAAATACAAACTAACAATGGATTTGTGAAGAATTCTTTTTAGTAAGCTCAAACTACAGAAAACATATAATCAAGTCAAGGGCTTCGGATAACCCATCATTGAATTAAATGAATTTTAATATCTCAATAACCTAATTTTGGATAAGCAAATTCTGTGACTACTGATAGAGAGAGAAGTATACTAATGATCACTAGATCTAAGGATGCGTTTGGTTCACGGAATGTAAGATTATTAGTGAGAATGTAAGATTACTAGGGAATAAGATTACTGGGAATGTTGTATTTTGTGTTTGGTTGGCTTAGCATGAATGTAAGAATACCGTGTTTGGTTAAAGGAATAAAAGATTATTGGAATGTATATTTGACCAAATTGTCCTTATTATATATTTGTTTTTTTAACAAGTTGGAAAATATTTATATATTTTCTTTAAAAAATTTAAATTCATAAAATTTATATAAATTTTTTTTACAAAATTGAAAATATAAAAGGTTTAATGAAAGGATAAAATTTTATTTTAACCCCTGAACTTCATATAAAATTTTAATTATAGATTTTTTGTTGTAAATCTAAATAGTTTAAAGATAAATTTGTAATTTAACATTCGTAAACATTTTATTATTCAATGACATAAGAAGGATATTCTTGAAAGAAAAGAAAATTAAGGGCATTTTAGTCCAAAACGCCGGTAATCCAATAATACCTAAGGAAAAAGAGATAATGACATTCCCGATAATATACCCAAAAAAATCTACTATTGGTAATCTCACATTCCCCCATCCAAACACCCCTTAAGCGTTCTTAAAATATTTTTAACTTCAGCATACATAGTAAAACATCAACAGTAAAGTAATTTAATAAAAAATAACAATTATGTTAAGGTAAGTTATTTAATACAAATAATTTATTTTATTAAAACAATTTAATTATGTTAATACAAATAAATTATTTTATTAAAAATAAAAATTAAATTAAATATTTTTAATTTATATTATAAATTAAAAAAATGATTATCCCTTTTTCTCATGGAGCATATTATAGATTAGAAAAGTTTCTTTTAATTCGAGAAAGATTGGGCCACTCTATAAAGGAAAAACTGAGAGCCCAAAATCTCAAAACGTTCCTTCTTCATTAAACCCTAATCTCCTTCTTCTTTTACGGTCGTTCACAGTCGACAATCCATACTCACATCCAAATCTATTTCTCGAAGTCCTCACTCCTCAGCTACTATCTTCTGCAACTATGGCGGCCAACTACGATTACGAGGAGGCTCCAGGCTCCTACGACGATGTGAACCGCCAAGACCTTGGCTACGACCCGAACTTTGTCCCTGACTCCGTTAAGTCGTTCGTCGTCCACCTTTACCGTCACATTCGTGAGAAAAATGTGTACGAGATTCACCAGATGTACGAGAACTCGTTCCAAACGCTCTCCGACCGTCTCTTTAAAGATACTCCGTGGCCCTCCGTCGATGCGGTTTCTCATTATGTAGATAACGACCAAGTATTTTGCCTCCTTTACCGTGAGATGTAGTTTCGCCACCTCTATGCTCGCCTATCCCCCACTCTTAAGCAGAGGATTGATTCTTGGGATAATTATTGTAGCCTCTTTCAGGTAATTACTTTTAATTTGCGTCATTATCTGTGATGTTGTGTCGTGGATTGATTTATTTGTGCTTTGGTTTTCGTTTAGGTGGTGTTGCATAGGGTAGTTAACATGCAGTTACCAAATCAAAGGCCATGGGACATGGTGGATGAATTTGTATACCAATTCCAAAGTTTCTGTCAATACAGGGTGAAAATGAAGAACAAAACTGGGCAAGAAATTGCTCTTCTCCACCAATTTGACCAGGTAATTCAATTTGCCACGAGTATAGTAGATATGGAAGCGTAATTTTTTAAGTAGTTATTGTTATTATTATTGTTATCTTTGTGGGGATTTTAAGTTATTTTCCCCTTTATAGGCATGGAATGTGTATGGGGTGCTCAATTACTTGCAAGCGTTTGTGGAGAAGTCAAATATTATTCAGATATTGGATTTGCCACGATATAGTAGATATGGAAGCGTAATTTTTTAAGTAGTTATTGTTATTATTATGTTATCTTTGTGGGAACAAGGGTTTACATCAGAGTTATAGGAAGTCATATTGCTACTATTTATCATTATGGTTTTGCCAATCTTATGATGCGGAGGTGTGCTTTTGTTTTACTTGTTAATGGCATAAATGTTTCTTCCTTTATTACAGCTTTATTCAACTGTAGTTCTTTTTTAATTTAGCTTAATAATGATATATATAATCTTAATTATAGGTATGTGGAGGCAATTCGAGAATTCAATAAGATTCTCTTGTATATTTACAAGACAAAGCTATATCATCAGAAATCTCCGCAGTATGAGCAAATACTGAAAAAGAATGAACAAATGTATGCCTTGCTGGCAATTTGTCTTGCACTGTGTCCCCAAGCAAAACTTGTTGAGGAGACTGTGAACTCTCAATTGCGAGAGAAGTATGGTGAAAAGATGGCTAGGATGCAAAGATATGACGACGAAGCTTTTGTTTTCTATGATGAGCTCTTTTCTTATGCATGTCCCAAGTTCATTACACCTTCAGCACCTAGCTTTGAGGAGCCACTTGTAAATTACACCCAGGTAACAGTTTTATCTTTTTTAGACAATCTTAAGAATGATTTTGGTGAAAGTACATTAATGAAATCTTGTGTGCTTGTTCCTTTCGTTATTTACATCCGAAGTCCTTTAGCTATCCAACATACATGATTATGTCACATAAACTTGCTGTAGTTGAGGCTTTTTCATATTTCTTTTATTGTTGATAGTTGCCTTCTAAACAAAAAAATAATTCTTTGAACTGAGGTTTTGCTGCTTTTGCACCCTAAGTATCCATGAAAAGATTGTATCTGCAATTTCATGTTTTAGATTCACAGTAATGTGGATGTATAGCTTAGGCCTAATTAATGTTGATTTATTATGTGTTAGTAGATGGTTATTTTTCCACAGTCGGTCTCTGTTCCAGCAATTTATGCGCCTTCATTTGATGGATCTCTATCCCTGTCTCCTATACAATGCAATATCTTCCTTGACTTATTTATCATTGAGGAAAGGAAGTAAAAAGGGCCATTTGGCATGTTGTTAAGCTTGGTCTTCTCATCTTGTCCTGTATTTCTCTTATTATATATTTTGTGTTTTACCTACTTCCATTTATTTACACGCAGGATGCCTACAGACTACAGTTGAAGCTGTTTCTATATGAAGTGAAGCAGCAACAGTTATTATCGGTGTCAGGACATTTCTGAAAGTGTACTCAACTATATCTCTTGGGAAGCTTGCAAATTACATGGAAGTGTACTATCAACCAAATTCTCTAGAGTTGCTGATGAATCAGTACATTGTACTGTAGTATCAACAACCGAGTGGCCTTCACTCTTCTTTATTTTCAGAGTAGGGGAGCTAACAACTATGCATGTGTTTCCCGACAAGCATTCAGATGCAAGACCCTGATTTGTTATGGCCCCTAAGCTTTTACGATGCCAATTTCTTGGAGTTTGCATGCTTGAAGAAAACGATGATTTGTTTCCTTTAGGACCAACATGATTAGGAGAAAATAACATTGGATCATTTAAATTACGCTCAACAAGCACAGGAGCAGGCCGCTGAAACTGTCAGAAGTATAGAGGAAAATATTAGTAAATAATAAACCAATTCACTATTAGATGCAAAATAGAATATAAATGTAATAAAGAAAAAAGAATTAAGACAAAGATTTCCAATTTTATATATAAAAAACTCACAATTTTGTAAGAATCAACAATTTCAGTTTTGTCCTTGATATGAATTCCGCAGGCTTCTTTTTCTATGTTTCCTAGGGAACTAGTTCCATTAGAATCATTCTTCTGACCTTCGTCATCTGAGGATTCAGTATGATATCCCCCATTGAAGTGTTCCTCATCAAATGCTTGAGATGAGTTTTCTTTTTCTTCAATGGAGACACTGGAGTTGATTTTATGTGCAGATGGACGCACTTGTGATTTGTTCCCAGTCCCTCTCTCATTGAACATTACATCCAAGCTAGAGGAATCTTTGGTAAAATTGGATGTCATATCAGTTTCCAGCTTTTTCTCACTTCGTCTCTCTGATAAAGGTTATATAAGGTCACGGTAGCCTTTCTTCAAAATGGATGGTGTACCAGTAAAAGGTTTTGCAGCACTTTTCAGCAGAGCATCAGAACTATTGTCCCGTGACGGTGAATCCCAGAACCGAAATGGACTGATGCAGTTCGTAGTAGACATCATCAGCTGGCGAATACCAAGAGGACTGTATTCTTGCTGCATATCACTGCCAGAGGGTACAAGGTCACAGCTGAAAAATGGAATATCCAAGCTTGGAAATCGAGGAGGCTCATAACATAGACCTCCAACATCTTGATCTGCTGACAATGTTGGCTTATCATCTACCCTAGGAGAAGTTTCTACTACATTTGATTCTAAACCAAAAGTATTCACTGGAACCAACTTCCGAGAATCCTTGTCAAGGTATGATTGCCCTTGCAAGTCTGTATTATCTGTGTGATCATCATTGGTATAGATAAAGCCGTCATGTGCATTCATAGTAAATTCTTGCCCTTGATTTGAAAAAGGTTGACCGTTTAACTGACAAGGTTCACCTCCAATCATATGTGTACCATCTTCAACTGAAAGAAAAGGAGACACAAAAGACCGACAGCATGAGGTTGGCAATACTTCAGACCTTGTAGGACAATTATATTGTACGAATGGATTTCTTCCAGTTTCAGATATTTGGATGTCTGAAGCCTGAGAAAGTGATGCATTTGTGAAGCCAACCATTCCAACCATAATAGATCCTTGTGTCAAATTTTCAGAGGCAAGGCCTTCATCATTCACTGCCTTCGAGAATAGGACACTACAGCATTCATCATCGGGTATCAAAGTTTGCTCTGGTTTTTCTGAAGCTGCAACCATATTTATGAAATGTGTAGGAGCACTTAGTCCTACAGAAGACTGAAATGCAGTATTCATCACTTCATGGCTTTCGCTGGTGTCTAAACAGTTATTTGGTCCCGGTGGTTCTGGAATGGAGAAGTTGACAGCTTCCAAAGGTGGGTAATAATCTTCTGAACAAGGTGCTGGATTGGAATTTTCCTCCTTACCAGGCATTTCTGTGAATTGAAATTGCTCTCTTGTATGCACGGAAGCATTAGCCAAATCACTTGTAGACTGAGAGCAGCTAACCATAGCTGACTCTTGGCTGCATTCTGCTATGTCCTCGGCTTTTGTCCTAAATTTAGCAGCACTATCATCTACGTAGCTCTGAATCGTCGAATAAGACAAAGGCGTAGGCTGCCTTTGATTAGTAAGAAGTGAGAATTGAAATTGTTCTAAAAGGCCTGATGCTATATAAGAGTCCAATTTCTTTTTGATCGAACTGTTCCAGTGATTTTTTATTGCATTGTCTGTCCTGTTACCGGTACAAAGATTGAAATAAAGCATGTTGAATGCAAGGAATATATTAACTTCTAACAAACAGAACATTAGAGTTTAGACAAATATCAGCTGATGACTTGCAGTCACAGGACAGGAGGAAGTAAAATTAATACGAGACAAATAGAGGTGATCTCAATCTAATTTTGATGGAAAGGTGTGGATTCTCTGAATAATAAGTTAACAGACCTTCCTGGCAAAAACTTTGAGAGCTCTGCCCATTTATTCCCAAATATCTGATGAAAACGAATAAGAGCCAACTCTTCTTCTTGAGTCCATGCCTCTTTGTTTATGGCAGGATTGAGATGATTATGCCACCTGCATTGGTACTTATTTGTAAAAGCACATACGTAAGAGAAGAACAAATTCTTTTTTCTTATATTTTGAGGAGAAAGGGGAGCATTACAACAGCAAACACTTTCATAAATTACAAGAGAAGATGTTTGCAATAACATCCCAGAGTGAAAAACCTCTCACAAATTGTTAAAATCGACAACGTTAAATCAATTCGACCAGGCTTAGCTCAGCTGTTGTCATTATCGTAAGAAAGGTTCAAACTCCTCGACTTCTCCAAAGTTCTAAATGTAAATAAGTTAACAGTTCCATGATCACACCTTTCTCTGCATTGCTTTCCAATTCGTCCAGGTAAGTGCTGAGCAATGGTTGACCACTGTTTTGGCCCATATTTGTTCACCAACTCAATTATTTGTTCATCCTCCTGTTTAAATTTCTCAAAAGCAACTCAGAATATTTATCAAGAAAATTATGTTTGTTCTGTCAGCAAACAACTAAAAGAATTGTTAGAAAAAATAAGAAAAGGGGTAGCAAAAACAATCACCTCTTTAGACCATGGTCCTTTAACAAGCTCTGGATTCAAGACCTTTTGCCACCTGTGTAAGCACTGTACATCAGTCCAATCCTTGAAACACTCGGATGCAGATGAACCGTCTTACCGTTAATCCGTTTAAAACAACGCACAAAGAGCTATTATGCCTCTTAAATTCAAGAATAATACCTATCTTTTTCCAATTTTTTTCCTTTAAAACGTCGAACAGCATTGCACAGAATCTCATCCTGGAAGCGCATATAATTAATTATGTAGTCAAAATGAAAAATCATTAAAGGATATGCATGCGACTAAACTATAGATAGTACACTGATAAAGATATTACAGGGTAGGAGTAAATTAGGGGACACTATAATACATGGCAGAAAAAGAGCTTTAAACGTCGAACAGCATTGCACAGAATCTCATCCTGGAAGCGCATATAATTAATTATGTAGTCAAAATGAAAAATCATTAAAGGATATGCATGCGACTAAACTATAGATAGTACACTGATAAAGATATTACAGGGTAGGAGTAAATTAGGGGACACTATAATACATGGCAGAAAAAGAGCAAAAAAGTTATAGATTGAAAGGCAATGTCTTAAAACACAAGACAGCAGTCATAGACTACGACGAATACCTCTTCAGCAGTCCACTGCCCTTTTGTATAACGTCTTGTAGGACCGGTAGTCTT